AAGTGGAGATTAAATATTTATTACAGTTAAATTAAAATTATATTATTATGTTTCAATAAATATGATTTGCTAATTATAATTAATGATTTGCATGATGATAATTTTACAACCCAAAGGCTAGATGAAATATTATAACTATATACATTACTTATTATTAAATTAGTGTAATGAAAAAAACAAATTCTTTTACTGACCTAACCGAAAATCCTTGGAGTAACTAATAAACTAAAATAATTTAATACATATTCCTTTATATAAACTTATTAAAAGAAGAAAATGTATTTACACACCATGTGATTGTGTTTATGAAATATGCTAGACATGACTTAATTATTAACTCGGATCCATGTATGAAATGCTGTTTAGTGGTGCTTTTATTTTTGATGCATTCAAGAATAAAATTTGAAGAGACACCAAGTGCCAATTCCAAGAACTACAACACTAATTGATCCCTATTATCCATAAATGAAGTTGGTAAGTTTTATTTTAACAATGATTTCAAAAAACCAATAAAATACCTGTAATTACCTTAATTAAGATGGATTTTTTAGACTTCTTGTTGGACTTTTTATCATCGAAAATTATACTTTCAATCGCACGTTCGTCGGTCATTTCGCCCTCTTTAACAGGCTCTGACTCCTGCTTCTTGTGGCGGCGCCATAATCCTCCTTGAGAAGAGCTTAATCGTAGGGATATTTCTTCTTCCACTCTCATCTCGAATTGTTCTTGTAAACTATCTACTTCCACTTTTAAAATTTTGTTGAGAGATTCGGCTTTCTTTAGTTGTTCCCGAAGGACGCCATATTCGGAATCACTTTTCTTGGATGCATCTTCGAGAGTTTGTATGCGAGATAAGAGTGAAAGTTTCTCTTCATTTCGGTGTTCAAATGAATTTTCAACGGAACGAAGTTCCTTAATAGTTTTCTTAGCATCGTTATATTTCTTCTGTGATGCATGAAGCTCTTTTTCGGACTTCTTGAGATGGTCACGAGTTTTGTCAAGAGTAAACTGAACGTCTGATAATTCTTTTGTTACTTTTGCAAGTCGTTCCTCTAAATCATCAAATTTGCAAGACTTTGTTTGAGCGTTAAATGTGCTTTGTAAGGCGTCCTCAAGAACTCGAATCCTTGATTCAGACACACTGCACTTGTCCTCAAGCTCAATCACTTTCTGGTCTGACATTTTACATTTTTTTTCGGAAGCAGTGCGCGTTTGTTCTAACTCTCCGATTTTCTTTTCAGATGACGTGTATTTTTGTTCCAGCTCAGTAACCCTATTCTCGGAAGACATGTATCTTTGTTTTAATTCAATAAAGTTTTTTTCTGAAACCATAAACTTTTCTTTATAATCCATTTTAGCAAATATCGCTTTATTTAACTCCACTTCTGTTTCTCTAAGTTTAATTCGTGCTTCCTCAAGCATAGCGCGAGATTCTTCATAGAATCGAAAATCTATAACCTTATCAGAAGGTGTCTATAACGGGGGATTTATTTGTGAATTGTTAATTTTTTTTATTTAAAGTTTATAAAGTAAATAATTGGATAATAAAATTTCTTTAGTTTACCCGTTTGCTTCTTGCATCTACTGTGTTAGTTGCATCATTAAGCATGCTACCGATGTCTGATAGGTATTGGGACTCGGAACGTGCACGTTCCAATTCAGCCTGAGAAAAATTATACTTGGTTTAGAACAATATATATATGAAATAAAATAAAATAACTACAAAATCCTCTAAAAGTTCTACCTCCAACATTGCAAACAAGGAATTTTCGGCATTAAGAGAAGCTTGCTGTGAACGAATCCCTCGTCGTTTATTGTTCTGAAGATAATAAAAATTGTGTTGTTAGGTATATATATATATACATATAAAAGATTATTTAGTTAAATAAACTTGAAATTACATACATGTCCATTTGTAATCTTTTGATGCTCAATTCCTGTAATTACAGGATCATAAAGGTTACCTCCGGGTTGTAAGAGGCAAACCTTTGCAGCAACTTTACGGAATAACAATTTCTTGTCTTGCTCGTTAATGATGTCAACTCCAAATTCCAACTCGTCACCATGTCTGAGCTCGATAGGGTTACTCTCCTTACCCTCAGCACTTAGTCTCTTACCATTTATGAATGTGCCGTTACTTGACTTCAGGTCTTTAATGAAAACTTGATTATTATGGTAATTGACTTCAGCATGGTTCCTAGATAATACCTTGCTGTCGAAATAGCCATTTGACTCTGTTGGGGTCGTTCCTTTGTTGGTCATACGACCAATTTTAATGCTACCACCTTCAACCAAAGTTATTCGCTTTGGTTGAAAAGTATCGTTAATTGGCTCAAGGAACAATGTGATTACATTGGGTTGGTTTAACCTTGAGCTTTGAATCCACGGATTTTCAATTGGTGAACCCATTTATAGTTTATATTCGAGAGAAGAGAGCCTAATATAGAATTAATAAAATTGGGCAAATATCCAAGGATCATTACTAATATTCTCGAATAATAATTGGTTCTTTACACAATTAAGAGCTTATATTATTCTTTACACAATACATGAACGTTCTAACTTATTCTCTTGAAATACCTTTATATAATTAATTATCTTTGCCTTTTCTCACAAACATTAGAATTTTCCTACTTACGTTAAGAAATTTAAAGAAGGTGTTTCTTTGTTCAAATTAGTTATCAATTCGTTGTTGGAAACCTCGGAGGCAAGCTACGGAATTATCAAATATACGAGTTCAAAAAAAGTAACCCCCTGAATCGTACAAATATATCACATGATTTCGAAGTTATACAGTTATTCGAGGACAAACTGGTATTGATATCGGTTTCATAATTTCATAACCTTTAAATGATCCGATTGACCGAATTTTAAAAAGTCTATTGAAACGTATCAGAAAATCCGTTTATAAACCATATGTTTGAATTGATTACGCAAGTTTTCCTAAACGAATAATAAAGGAACGTTAGATAGGGACTTTAATAATTTAAATCATAGTTCGAAAATATAATAATTAATTCGCAATATCTGAAATTTTATTAATATTTGTACATATATATATATATGAAATAAATTAATCTTTAGACCAAATTTTATGTTTCCCTTATTATTAACACACGTATGTAAAGATTATATAACCGTAGTTTTCTTTAAATTGAACCAATCTATGTCTATTCTATATCTGTAATTATCTTTTACCCAGCAAAGATGATTTTTCATCCGCATCATCATTCTCTTCGTCACTCTGTTCAAATGTTAACATTCCTGAGGTAGATGAATTTTCTCCCAAAGAATAGTAATTATGATATGATTCAGAATTATTCATATCCATGTTCTCTGCGTATATATTAAATTCTTCTCCTTCATAAAGTTCGGTTAATCCTTCAAGATCACGTCCTAATAACATACTGTCATCTAATAATTCTTCTTCTGGTGCCGTACTTCTTCGCCATGATAATACAAGCACACCACATATCAGAATAATTATACCCACTATAACAAGAAATATTTGCCACCAATGTAAACGATTCCATTGATTATAATACACAAGACCGTTAAATATTGTGGAAACATTATATGTGCAAAATGAAAGAGGTACTAAAATAACCGTGTCACATAACCTCAGTCCCTTATTAAGATAATAAAGCTGAATTCAAAATCAGGTAAAATAAGGTAACATATAATTGTTTTTAATAATGTTACAAATAGTGCGGTGAATAAAAAAGAGAGAAAATTAAAGAAATGAAACAATACCTGTAATAAAGAGGTAACGATCAATGCTATTACGATAAACCAACTAAATGGTCGATTAAATTGATTATCGCAATTAAAAATAGATAAAAGTAATAATTCAATACCACTTTTGGCAAATAATAAACTCTGACCGGATATCATACCCCCAACACATCCATATGAAATACCGAGAACCTTTTGAAAATTTTTCACTGACCACCCTAAAGTAAGGTCACGTTCATTTCGAATCATTTGATCCAATGCATATTCACCAAATTTATTTGTGACTAAAAAAATCATAATCATTAACTCAATTATGGAAAAATATACTATAAACGCCGGTCGTTTATAAAGTTCAATCAAGTCTTCTAATGAATGATTTGGCTCATTGACAACACCAAAAAGTGCAATCATTACTGCTCCGATCAGAATAAAAAATGTCCCTATAATTGAATCGAGACATTATTGATCACAATTCTTTCAAATTGAAGGAGAATTGAATTTGATCTTAAGTGAGAATACAACGCACCTATTATTGTCTGTTTAGTAAACACATCGCCCAAAAGTAATTTGGCGAATAATGCATTAAAGACCAAGGTCACAGCCCCTAAGGGAGCCAAAATAACTATTGGAAGATATCCGATTGAAAATACACTACCAATTATATTTGAAATTATATAAGTATCGAAACCTAAATGCCACAATGGTCGCTTACATGCAGATCGTCTAAGTTCCTTTGGGTGAACATTTTCATTTAATACATGAGATTTGCGTTGTATTGTAAGACCTAATGATTGGACAAATGAAGTTGATACTGCTATAACAATACCGATAATAAAATTAAATTGCGGAACAATGTCTGTTTCCACATTTCCTTCATTATATAGTGAGCAGCCCACCATGTTTGACTTATAAGAGTGGAATGCGTGTCAAACGCAATCACTTTATTTAAACGTGTCGAGATACAATCGTGTTTAATTTTACTTTTTAAAACAAATTAAATGTGGAGCCGGTTTCAAACATGTTTAAAACTCGGTTTATGATATAAATCTATTTCTGATTGGTTAGAAATTTTTTTACACATTCTTCGTCACGTGTTAATTGCGAGGTAGTTTAATGAACATAACAAGTTTGCGGATTAATACTTGACACGTGTGCATGATTGTAAAAAAACAATACATTAAATATATCCTTAATATTAAATATTAAATATTAAATAACAAACATTATCTACTGTAAATAAATAAATAAATAAATATAATTTACATCTAATGCGTTTGATTTGATTGATTTGATCTAGTTTCATCATACATTTTACCCAGTAATAATCTACCTTTACCTTCAATATCTTCGTTTATGGAAGAAGTAGGAATGGGTTTTGCGCTAGAAATATGTGGCGTTCCACCAGCTTCTTTATGTATTTGATAATTCGTAAGAGGTATATTTTGTGTTATAGAATCCTTCTTATCGTGTTTCATTGACCTATAAATAAATATTTATTATATATTTATAAGTTGAAAATTTCTATAATAAACAGCTTAAAGTTAGAATATACTTACTTTATACCTCTCGTTTTCTTTTGACTTTCTTGACTTTCGTTACTAAGAATTGAAGTTTTGTCTGATCCTTCGTCATCTTTCTCATTCTCAACATTTTCACCTTCCATCATCAGAGTAACGTTAGCTGCGGCCACAACTGTTGCCAATGAAGGAACAGCTATTTCTTTGGATTCATTTGAAAATGTGGGTTCTGCTGTGGTTGGTCGAACACGTTTTTGTGTAATGAATTTTTGATTAATCAAGGAACCAGTATGTGCCAAAATGGTACGAATAATATCTAAAAAATTTTATATTTATAAATGTCAATGTTGGCGTCTTATATGATTTAAATGCATGATTTAGTTTACCTTTTTTAAATTGCTCCAAAAAGTCTAACCACGACCATGTTTTGTTTTGATACTCTAGAGTTGGCATTTTGAAAACAAAATCATAAAGATCTTCCAAATTCTTTTCTTTTATGCCCTATAAAATCAATAAATTTTTTAATTAAATACTTTATTACAAATCAACCTTAAGTAAAACAACTTACTTGATAACTGAAATTATGTGTAACACCGGGAACCTTTATATAAATAAATGTTCTGTTTTGGGAAGCTCTCGTCTTCATCAACTCCAACTCCGATGAATATTCCGTATGATCTCCTGTCGTTGTCTTTGATAATTGTTTTTTACTTATAGATGTGGGATTATTCGCAATTGAAGTTCCATCGTCTGTGAACGAAACCACATCCGTTTCGCTAGATGTTTCTTGAGTTTCGGTACTAGAACTATCATTAGATAAATCTGTTATTTTCTTTGATGCCTTTACCGTTTGTTCAAAACCTATCGATCCTCTCTTTTGTTCTATAGGAGTACTACCAACTTGTGCAAAATCATTTGCCTTGATAGAATTTTGTTTAATAATGTATTCACTCCTTTTTTCCGGAAATATGTACATCATGATAAGTTTTCCAATATCATATTGCATTTGGAATTTGAGCGGAAACATATTGATTTCAAAATGTTCAACCATTGCAATACCGGCAACGGGTTCTAATTCTCCCCAATAAACCCGAATCATCTTATTACGACTAAAATCCACGGGACGATTATCTATTATATATGGTGATATTAATTCTTTAAATGTAGGTTTTGGAAGTTTGTTTATTACAACGAGATGATCTATCTCTAAAGTGTTTATACTACTATTCTCTTCTTTTGTCATCAATACAAAATGCGCATTTGCTAATTTCCACTCACAAATTGGTTTTCTGTTATTCTCTTGCATAACCCAAGCTACTTTATCTGCTGTCGCTATAAGTTTAAATGCAACCTTACTGTCCGCTTTATGTCTCTTCTCTTGTGAAGCAGTAATAGCTTCCATTAAAAGATATAATTCTTCTTGAGAATTTATTAATTCTACCTCCACTGCCCTAAGTTCCTTTATTCCTTCTTCATCTAATTCTGCTGAATGTAATTCATATTGGAGCCTTATATCATCTAATTGTCGAATTTTTTCTTGTAAAGATGTTACTCTTTCGGCCGCACCCTCAAGATCATCCAAATCCGCTGCAAGTAAAACTGCCTGCAATCTTTCAGAACGTTCTTTTTGAGCTGGTTCACGATACATAAATAAATCTGTAACTACATCAAAAAATATGCAATATTGGTCAGACGTTGCTGATATTTTAATATTCGGAACATTAATATGAAAGGAATCCATTCTTTTATCAAATTCTTCTTTCTTAGAACTGTCAACTTCTAATATATTTGAATTGATGTCTTTATTATTTTCATTAATCTGATCATCTTTTTTGATGTCACTTCCTTTTATACGTAAATTGTTAAATTTGTCATATTGTGCTGTGGCAGAAGTTCGTTTAACCAGTTGCTCAAATGGTAAAGCATTGTTTTTTGTGTTACTAATTAACACCTCCACAGGAACCCACACGGGCCAATTTTCTTGCCCCTTAGCACCATAATTGTTTGCTGTTAAAATCTTTGAATAATAATCGTTCTTGAAATCTTCCTTGGTGCTTGTAAAAAGTTGTGCATTGTCTAAACCAAAGAACATCCTTGTTTTCACAACCTCATTAATAAGATCACCTTTAGACCAATCTTCTACGATTGAAAATGTTTTGAGTTGAGCTCTTTCTATACACATTATAATACTGGAATCTGGATTTTTTTCACACTGTAAATTAATTTGAGGATTAATAAATTGAACTATAAAATCATTTCGTAACGAATAGCCTTCAGGAATATCATCATGTAAATCTTTTGATTTTTCTTGATCATCTGTACCTTTATCTACAAGAATTTCATTAGGTACAACAAAGCTTGTACTTTGCTCTCCAACCAACTTCCTCAACATTTCAGCCGCCATATGTGCATCAAAATCATAATTATCTAACCCAATGGAAGACATTGAATCTCTTTCTTTTCTTAGAGAATTTTCGTAGGCTTCCTTTTCTTTCTGTTGCTGTATCTTCTTTTGCAAGTCTCTTATAAACTTGACCGCACTCATTGACATATAATATGTTAACCCTTGATGTTGTTCCACAAGATTCCAAAATTTATACATCAAGTTACGTAATGAATTATTCCATAAACCCTCAGCATTGTGGATAATAAATCGATGACCAAAATGACCATGAGTATCGGCCCATAAAGGAGAACTAAAACTAGGCTTTTTCTCATTATCGACCTGTTCATCACTTTTCACATCTACATATTTTAGATCTGGTTTATTAAGTTGTTTTTCTAAATCATTTAAATATTCTTGAATGACATTTCTTTTTTGTGATAACATGGCAGTGGTGTTTTGTATAGATTGTGACTAATCAGAATGATCAAAAAAAAAAAAAAAAAAAAGGTTTTAAAATGAATAATGATATCGAAATTCATACATGAAATATAATAATAATGAAAAAACAAACCATATTTTGTAGATGTAGGTTTGGATTTTTGGAATCTGCAGTAATCCTCTCTTCAATGTTGCTTAATATCTTAGTTTGCTGACTTATCTCCTGACTTAATCGATTTAATCTTTCGGTAAGGAAATCAATTTGAACTTGAACAGTATCTAATAAAATAAAAGCATTAATTAGAAGGATATTTTAAATAAATGACGGGATATTTTATTAAAGGCTTACCTCGACCCTGCCCCATCACACATACATGAGTCCCTTGGTCCGTTTTCTTATCTTCAAATGTATCATTTTCATTCGGACTTTTAAAATACATCATTTGCGGACTTCTCATTAAAGGTAATACCCTGACACCAGGTTTGACATCTGGTAACATCCAATCCAATTCAATGTAATCATCATCATCAACCCACTCTTCATCTTCAACGAGTAATGACATAAAATCTTCATCTTTACCCAACAAAATTTCTCTTTCATCCTTTTCATGTTCATCTGAAAAGTTCGAAAAAATATTTTCTTCAATATATCGGACAGCAATTCCTCTGAGATCCAAATTATTCAAATCCACCTCAGCTTCATGTAGGATTATATCTCTAGCTTTAACTTCCTGTTCTTCCACCTCAATAATTCTCTCTTCGCTGCGAAGATGCATATCAAATTTGAAATTTTCAATCTTGCCCTTAATTCCTACAATGTGTGTTCTTCCGTCTAATGGATCTTCAAAAGCATCTTCTCTGTAAAAATAATTAAGGAACAAAGGCCCTACACATATTTTAATTTTTATAGTTCCAAGGTATTTTCCAAGTTTTGGAGAGGGAGGTTCAAGAGAAGGAAATAGAGCTCCTTGTCGAATAGGAATAGTCATTGCTGGTTCAAAAAGAAATGCCCATGATAGTACATGTTGAAGAGATTTCGGACTTAATTGTATAGAATTTTGTAAATCTTTTTTATCATGACAATAATCATCAGAATTTTTCAAATTTATGGGACATGAAACGCTAACCGAAAGATGAACAAAGTCCGATCGAAAACCTTTGAAAGAATCGTATACCTAAATAATATGATAATAATAATTAACTGAGCGGTTAAACAAATTAATAAATAAATCACAATAATGTAAAATAAAAAGCCCATTACCTGCCCTTTCGACGCAGTTGCATATTCAGGTATTCTTGTTATAATTTCATAATGAGGTATAAAATCTGTTAATCGACAATTGCGTTGTCCTTTACAGACCGGACAAGAGTTATTGCAGAGTCTTTGAAAATGAACTCCCATACCGTATCTCACACCACCACAAAGTTTCATTACACGCTTCAAATAGTTATTAAACAACGCTTCAGATTCTACCGTATTTGATGAATTCAGAGTTCGAATTGTACTAGTCTCTGAATCTTTTATACTCTCGTTTTGAAGTTTGGCTTTCAATCCTGTATTATTTGCAGATAAGCTACCATCAGAGACGACAGAAGCTAAATTAGGAATAGCACACGTGAATTCTTCACTATCGACTTGAAGAACTTCATTTTGATCATTAGCATGTCCTAATCGAATTTCAACATTTTTGCTCCAACATAAGACGAAACCAACCCCATGTCCAGTGACTAAATATGGATCACGAGAACCTTTTGCGTAAAATTGCACGTCTCCGGTGCCTTTGAACTCCATTGATATTTTAACATGCATCATGATTCTCATTTTATCCCAAAAACCGATTGCTTCTGAAGGGTCAGGATTAGGTTTAGTAAAACTTTCGAATACCTTTGCAAAATGCTGAACTGCCGGCTGCATGGAAATACCCCATGAAAAAACCGTTGGTTGTGAAGAATTAATCTTTACATGGAGATCCGAATATATTTTCACAGGCGAGACGGTTCTTGGAACTTTGATTGTATATGCACTATCATCACCTTGCGATGTCATAATAACGACAGAAGCTTCTCTTATCGCTTCCATACCTTTTAGTTCTTCCCCAACCACCAAATTTCCTTCAAGAAAGAAAGAATACAAAATTTTTCCATGATAATTATCTGTAGAAGGAATATGAGCTAATGGAAGTGGATAATCACGTATTTCAACCCACGCTTCTTTTAGTTTGGCACTCAGATGCATTGGAACCAAAAGTGCAAATTTTGTATCCAATGGTAAGCCCTTTCCTATCTCGTTCATATATTGTGGCAAATTTTCCATTGGAAAGGAAGGCGTTGAAAGTGTCAATAAAAATTTTAATATAGTGGCACTAAACAAAGCTGGAAACTTTGAAGGTTCGGTCGTTCGAATTGGTAGGGATTCCTCTTGAGAAACCTTATCCATTGATATTGCACGTGATGGGTCGGCGGCCTTAACACATTTAATCCAGCTTTTTGAATTATATTCTTTCAATGCTTCACACGCCGCATCAATGCTTAAATTCGCGCGAGGAGATGGTTGATGACGAAAATTACCAACTCGCGTTTTTTCTTCATGTCCGAGTAGCGACCCGCTATTTTCTTTTTGTGATTGGCCTCCATTGTTTTTGGAATATGCAGCAGCTTCTCTAATTGCTTCGGCTTTTGCCTCAAAAGCAGCATCTCTCCCTAACCTAGCCTTTTGTTCTAGACAACCAATTTTCCATATTAAAGATAATTTTGCTTCGAATGGATCATCTTCTATACAGAAGGTTACTAATCCAACTTTAAGTTGTATTGTGGGTAAAATCTTTGCCTCCTCTTCCTCTGGTCCCAATAATAAACATGATTCCTCACTAGTAAAGATACGTTCAGTTAAATGTTTCACAGCTTTGGCAGTATTAGCGATATTTTCAATAACATCAGCGAGGACGAATTGATGAGGTATACGGACATGGATCAAATCGGATTGAATACGTATCATCTTGTCAAATTTCTTTTCATTTTTTGTATCATCGTCCAAAAGAAGAATTTTTGTATTCTCGACTCTACCTATTTCATCCCATAGCCCTTCCTCCACTAGACTTGTGCCAAAAACACGTAATTTTTTAATCCTCACTCCGTGATCAGAAGGAGGAACGAATTTATAATCAATCCCATCCACTCGCGCAAAAACCTTAGTATTTTCCGGAAGGTCAATCGACATATTAATTTTATTCACCGTAATATTCAAATCAAATTTTGCCGATGTATCACTATGTGAATCGGAAGGTTTAGGTACGGATTTCTTCATATTCTTCTCATGATCAGAGGACGTTGGTAATAATCGAACGATATTTATAGCACCAACTAAGCAAGAATAATGATAGAGTAATGAATATTTAACATGAACTTCTTGAACTTTTACTGTGTGGTTGATAACTAATTCATAATCATTTTGTAAGTATTTAAATGATAAGGTACTCTGAAGTTCTATATCTGGTATGTTCAATAATGGAGTTGTATTTTTAAATAAGTCTTTATCCCAAATGGCTAAAATCGGTATCAACTTTATTCCTCTAACAAATCCTCGAAGGATGCCTCCAGTATCATGTTGAACTACATCACTATCTTCTGTAGACATGCCAAACCCTTTATAACGTGCAGTAGGATCAATCGTTGCTCTTGCCCCCTTATAATCAAATAGGATATCCTGTAACCTAAAATCTATTCCCCTTGATGTTGATGAATTGACAAATGAGTCTACCCCGGCAATTTTCACACATATTGCGGTAAAAGAGACATAACAATGAAGTACTTCTAGATACATTAATAAAGATTTTTCGCTTTTTTCTGGTGTCTCATCAATTATCATCGGTTCAGAAATCTCACGTTTTTTAGGTTTGTCCTTTTGAAGTTTTTTGGAGACATCGATGAGTTGTTTTAACAAATCAAATGTCGATTTATCACATAAGTTAACCTCAAGCCTATCAACTATCCAACTGACGTCCACTTGAATTGTTTCGGTTTCTAAAGATGTAGTGAAAGAAGTAGAATCTTCATTATCATTGGATGAAATCATAGTTCCCAATGCAGAAGTCGCCAAATTAAATTCTAAAGAATTATTTCGAAATAAATCATATTCAAAAGTATATAATTTCATATTATGAGTCTTTAAACTTGCAACTAAATTATAAACTAATGAGAAACTAGGTTGAGTCCAACTTCTAGTATACCTTCTTGACAATACACGTTGATGTTGAACTTCTGGTAAATCGTTCAATTCCGTATAGTCACCATTGACTTCAAACGATATATCCTGAAAGCCAAAGGAAATTTGTGAAAATCCATCGATTCTCGTAGAATATGGAATTCTTGTAATTTTAACAAGTGGATTAATTATAGAACAAATAGCGACTAATTTTGGTATACCATTCATGATCTGACATGATTCTTTAAGCTTGGGTGATTGTTGAGTTGATGACTGCTTTCCTCCAAGATCAAGATGTTTTAATGAATCGATCACGTATATAATAAGATCAAGGTGTTCAAATTTCACGGATATTTCGGGAGAATTAACCTCAAATGTCCCGTCTAATGATAAAGAATTTGGATCATAATCAGCAACTGTAACTAGAGGTTTAGATAATAACATTATACTCGCAATCTTATCCACTTGAATCATTCGAGAAACGTTATGATTATTATCTACAAGATCACCATAAATATCATCTATAGAAAAGTTCATCCTCAATTTTATAGGTTTAGGAATTTCTTCAATAAAAAGTATTGATCTCCGTTGATTATAAATTGAATGAATGTCATCTTGTTTGAGTGAAATAGAGAATCCATTTAATGACAATTGGGCAGTTAAAGGAAGTTTATGAGATTTGCTATTGTCCAATCCTGAAAATTCATATTTGATATCAATTAGATCAACCTTAAAATTGGCACTTCCAAAGAATTCAACTGGAGTCTTCTTTCTACGAGACATTCTCATTTTTCTAGCTAATGAAGAATCCAATAAATTAGCCATCATAAAACTTCGTGATCTATTTGATGGTTGTGAAGAAGATGGGGTATTTAAGGATTCAACTGGTCCCCTTTTTACTTTGTTTGGAATTTTTGATTGAATAATTTTAACCAAACGAAGTATGGAATCTATACCAATATTTATTCGATTTAAGTGAACGTCAATTTCAATGGATATAAGTGAAGTACAGGCGGGAGAAAGATGAAGAGATAAAGTAATTTTGGTTGTATGAAGTAAAGAGATAGCAGGAGATATATTCGGAAGGTTTTGGATTAAACTACTACTACTATTTGATTTATTAACAGATTCAATATCTCGAATTGATAATGATGAAAATGAGAAGGAGATATTTAGGAATTTTTTAGAAAATACGTGATGATGATTTCGATTATCTATGTCAGCAAGTAAATCCATTCCCAAAGTACACCCATCAATTTGGAATTGTCCTAAATCTTCAATTAATAGCTTGACATTTGTAATATCTATATCAACATAATTTGCAATTACTGACAAGAAAAATTGTAATGGAATTGAAGAAATTTTCCCCATAACATATTTAACAACCCAAACGGATGACCACCAAGCTTTTTGAGGTACGGCAGTGATTAAACTATGTTGCCTTGCATGAACTCTTTTTCTTTGATTAGTTTGTAAAAATATTTTTATAGAAGAAAAGTTAAAATAAGCACCGTCAATAGTAAAAGTAAACCAAGTTTTACGACTTGCATTCGGTTTTCTAATTTGTAAATGAATTTTATTTACAGAAAGGTTAAAAGAATGTTGAGTTTGGTGTGGACCAGAAATCTTCCCACTATAAGATAGGTTGGCAATTGATAAAAAACCTATCGATCCAAAATGGATTTTAAATTTTCTTTCAACAAAGCGTCTAAGAAATCCGGTTCCATAGTATAAAATGACGAAAAATCCAGCAAATGTAAGGAGAGTTTTGATAGAACTATAAATTTCTACCATTATGTTTAAAATAATTTAAATAATTATATGTACAAGAAAAAGAGGAAAAGGATACTTGAATATCAAGGTGATCTTTTATAGGATGATTTTCAATTTGCATTTTGTATTACAAAAATCGGATCACGAATTTCCAAATTCTTTTAAGCTTTGAATAATTTTGTTAGAACCATAAATTTCTACCATATAAATTTTGTTGAAAATAAAAGAAATAGTGGAATTAAAAGTTCATTGATGAATATTTTAGACAGGATATTCCTCCAATAATGATTGGGTTTTTGAGGACTAATTAGAAAAAAAAAAACTCATTTTTCTTTAAATTTGTAATTGGTTATCTTCTTATGATAAACACATAATAAAATCTTAATATTCTGTGCAAAGTTACACCGATCACCTTATTTATCAGGACTCACTCGGGAACGCACACGATCGGCGTAATAAATATCTAAAAAAATAATTGTTTGCTTATATAAATGTTAAATTAATGATCAGCTGCCGATCTTTAAATATCTCGTATTTTAAATTCTTAGTTTGAAATAATATTGTATTCTTCTTCACTTGAAGCTTTATTTTTCATCTTCAAGTACAGGTTCGCCTTCCAAAAGTTACTGTAACAATTAACAAATTAGATGCTGATTCATTCATTTGTTTAATGCATAAGCCAACTCGTAAATTCTTTATTAAGCAAATGCTAAGATAGAATACAAGTCTAAACTAAAATAGATCAAAGACAATGCCTATCGTGAAATTCCACAATTACTGCGCCAAACTGTTACGACCAAACGTTTATTAATAAAACTAAGAAAGAAAATAATAATAGTAAAGATAAATAAAATAACATAAAAATTAAAAATTAAGTAGATATTTACTTTTAAGCTACTAATGAATTTCTACATTTATATTTTTATATATTATCTATTATATATATTTACTACCTACCTTAAAAAATATTAATAAAATTTACGCGTCATTATTATGGTGTAACTATGATGATCTGAAAAACATGATTTTGGCAAAAAGAGCATATTCCTATATTTACTCCAAGCCAAATATCATACTGCTTTTTATATAAATGTATTGGTTTTCTGACAATAAGATATCTCTTCTTATTATAATCAAAGATGTTTTTTTTATAACCATCCCTTTCAATCGGATGGAGTCCCATTCTCATGGCATTTAAATCTATGAATATACCATATTATATGATTGAAGTGTTTTTACGATTTATAGTGTGTTAGAAGATAATGTTATTAGACCTATCAATTTATGTGATTTATACTTCATGAGATCCAGTTCATTTTTTTTGTGGGATGTATAGGGTTTGAGTGAAGCGATGTATAATTTTCATATCAGATTATCAGATATGCAGTTTATTAGATATAAAAAATCACATGCACAGAACGTTTTTAAAAAAATTTTATTTTACTAATTCCGCAAACACAAAATGATTATGGTCTATAATGCTTAATTAAAAACAAATTTTATAATTCATGACGTATGTGCAAACATATTTTTCTGTTTTGATACTTTAAAATCGGAAATTAACAAACTTATCGCTAGTTACTTACATTGAATAAAAAACATCATATCTTTAATTTTCAGTTTTTGAGAGTTTGTTGATATCGTTTGGGTAGTTCTACTTCGGGTAAAAGGTTGGTACTGAGTTGCCTCCTTGTTTACGAGCCATATTGTTAATTGTAGTTCATAACAGATAAAGATATAATTTAATTGTAATTAATTTCGGAATTAGGTCTGCCTATTTGCACTGTGTCCATTCTATAAATCCATTCGTCAGGGAGATCCATGACGTAACATCCTCCAATATATTCTAAAAAAGAAAGGTATAAATCTGCATTTTTACATAAGATATCGGCCACACACTGCTTATTAATGACATGTAGCCCACAGACAATGAGATCAACTCCCTCTTTTAACAACTTATCTTTTGATGCCCTCATTGTTTTTCACAGATCCTGGTTTATCAGATCTGGGAGGTTTTATTTCTGCAAATATCAATTCGGCATGGTATTATTCTTGGGATAAAAACATTATTTTTTTTAAAAAAAGCAAATACAAATACTTCATATTTCGTTTTCAAATTTCAAAACAAATCAAATAATAAAATTTTCGAAACTACTATTAAAGTTATACTGTCATATTACAGTATTTCTGAAGTGACAGAACAATCCTACGAAGTTTTATTTCTTTTTATGATATTTTTTTTTAATTTAAATCATAAAATATTGACCATTTTGTTAAAAAAAAAAAATAAAGTAATTCAATCGTGTATTGTTGAAGATACAAGCAACAATTACTTATTCGGTCGAATTTTAGTTTTGTGTAATTACCTTTATTTTTTTATATAGGAAGAATTTTTGAGTATTAAATAATCGAAATTTCATATGAGCAAAATATGACTATATTTAAATAGTAATTTTTTTTTAGTTTATCGTGTTGAATCCAAAACAATCCCTCTAATCACACCACCCGCTATACAGTGGCTCCCAAATGTTATGCATCACCCCAATTGGTAAATTTTAAAATTTAATTACTTTGTATACACGTGAT